TTTGGTCGAGTGTGAATAGGTGTGAGCCACAATGAATCCTTGTGGGTTGCGGTGGAGGGTCGAATAGACCCACTCACTTCGGACCTACCTACCTACCTGCCTACTTATGTGAACAGTTTTAACTTTAGAGGCATACAGATGGAAAACACAGAAACATTTATCACAAAATCTGTCGTCCACACTCCTAACAGGCAAAAATATAAGTATTCAGACCCATGAATGAAGAAAAATTTCATTTATATCATATAGCGGAATCAGTAGCAATGATTGTTTTAGTTGATATTTTAATTTTTTAGTTGTGTGATACTTCCATTCCACTGGTATTTGGTTGTACAGTTTCATTGGCAAATATTCAGTTTGTATTTTTGTTTTTTCGTTATTTACTTTTGACGTCCTATATTGATTTTTATTTCGTGTATCATGTCCATGAAGATCTGTTCCCGAAATATATTTATCTTTATTTGTATGTATGCATAGAATTGCATATATGCATATATATATACAAGGTAATGTCAAGATTTTCATTTCAATAAAAATTGGCTTGGAGTGTGTTCTGTTACCCAAATTGGCTATAGTTCTTATAATTTTCATTTGGCTCACCAATAGTTGACAACAAGCCGGGCTTGTTCCCCACAATATAACTCCATATACAAGATGGCAATGCACCATGCCATAGTAAACAGTGTTCAATACTTCGCTAGATAGTACTTCCCTGAGATTTCTCAAAACGAATAGAGCCGTGGATAGCTTTTTTTGAGTTTCATTTATATGTACTTTCCAATTCAGTTGAGCATCAATATGAAAACCCAGTAGCTCAACTGTTGTTTCATCGTCAAGCGCTTGCCGATTTTTTCTGAAAGTGATGTTCTTTGATTTATTTTTTTTTTTAGGGACATGACGTTTGAATTTGAAAAGATTTCCATTTTCAATAATGTTTTCTATTACTTACGTTCTATCACGCTCAAGTTTTTATCTTGTTACAAAAGGGTAGAGTCATCTGCATATATAAAAACATCAGCAGTATAAATAAATGTTGGTGAGTCGTTTATGTAAATGATGAACAATAAGGAACCTAGCACTGAGCCCTGAGGTACCCTATGTTTGACTTCTAGAGTTTTTGATGTCTTGTTATTTAGTGATACATACTGCTGTGTGTCTTTTAGGTATGACTCGATGAGATCTAATGCTGTTCTGAGTATTCCATATTTGTGGAGTTTCTTCAATAAAATATCCTGAGAAACACTATCAAATGCCTTTGACAGGTCACATAAGATTGCATGAGTATGTATCCCTATATTTTGATTTTTGACTATCGAGTGCACTATATCGGTGACAGCTTGAGGTGTTGATCTGAGAGAACGAAAACCGTACTGATGATCATCTAGGAGTTATTGTTATAAATCTGTAGTTAACATCACCTTTCTTCAGAATAGGGGTTGCTCTCCCCAGTTTTAAGTGTGATGGAAACTCTCCCTTTACCAGGCAGATATTTATCAGATGTGTTAGAGGTTTTGCTAAAATTTCAGGGACGAGTTTCATTATTTTCGAACTGATATTGTATGCATCCATACTACTATTATTTTTTAAGGTTCTCAAAAGAGTTAAAAATTCCGTTCTCGTTCGTGGGTCTCAGGAATACCGAGGTTTTCTCGTTCATTTTCAAAAGTTCCTCACCTCTCAGATCGGTGGGAGGTATTTTCAATGATATTGTCAACCATATTCACTGAATCCATCTGCAGTAAGGCTCGTGCTTTCACTTTTGAAAGTGGATTTCCCTCTGATCTCATTAACTATTTTTCAGTCAGTTTTTGAATTATTTCTACTATTATCCCAAGCGCATTCCACAACCCCGATGCCATGACTTGCCTGCAAATGAAACGGTCTTCGTTTTCTTTGGAGCCGGTTCTCTTTTGAGTTCACTGTTCTGATTGTTTTTTTGGACCCATCCATGGTTATGAAACGACGCAAGAATTCTGTCGAAATTCTGTTATGAAACTTCGCTAATTAGTGAAGTTTCACTTTTTGAATTGTCTACTAAGTCTACTAGCTCGCCTCTGCTTTCCAATATTTTACTGTTGAAACCAAAGGAGTAGTCAGCCAGAGAAGAATTCAGTTCAGCTTTTATACCAGTTGGGCTGATGCCTTTCGAATAGAAGGCCACATAACGATGACCAGTTTTCTCCATTTTCACAAATTCCCGAAAACGTTCGCTATTAATGACTGGAAAACAAATACTAAATAATGCAGCGTCTTCAAACTTGAAACAGTTGCTTTATAGATTATGTACTTTCTAATAACGTGATATTTTTCAAATAACTACCACGACTTCTAGGTCAGGCCGAGTACTTCTAGGACCACCCTGGTAAATACCTGAGTTTGTATTGATTAAAATTTATCAAAATCACTTCGCTCATCAATACTCTCAATCAAGTATGTGGTAACAAAATTCGCAGGTCAAATTATCAACCACAGCAACCTTTCAAGATTTAAAGCAGCCTATTGATGGGAATGGAACAAAATAATATGCTGGTTGATAAATATAATCGATTCAATAAATGAAACACAAAGTGACTAGAATTTTACCTGTTGGTTGTTTCGGCTATGATACTTCCGATACACAGTCCTCCCGCTACAGGTGTTTTCCAGTTGTGTTCGTCTTCATACCTCACATGTATATTTGTAATATTCAACTGTAGGCAGTTGAGTAAATTCGATATCAAGTGTTCCGAAAATGACGAAGGCCCTCCTACAATTTTTTAAAATTTCCATTATCAAATATATTCCATTTTATTTCACTCAAAATTAAATTTCAGTAGAAGGTTCAAAAGCAGAGAGTTGATAATTCTCACGGAGTTGAAATGTGAATAGATCTTTGAAAAGACGAAGGAGCATTTCTTAGACCAAATGGCATTGAAGAATTATTGAAAAAAATATACGTATAAATGCCTGTAATCCACAAGNGCAGTTTTCTCTACTCAAATAAGATTCTAGTTCCTCAATAGATGGCTGCAACAGAAATTAGCATTGAACCAAATAAAAACATTTCAAAAACATGAAAGAATATCTGGATTTTTAATTGTTAACAGGTCAAGATACATACATTACAGCAAAATTGGAAAAAAGATATCTTTAAACAAATGAATTTTGACAAATTTGAAAGGATGCGAATTGAATCTATCGAAAACTTTTTTCTCACACCAGAACAAAAATACCTTCGCTCGACGCGCGTTTCGTAAATCAAGTTAGCATCATCAGGAGATGTTTAGCGAAACACGCGTCGAAAGACAGTATCATCTCCTGATAATGCTCACTTGATTAGCGAAACGAGCGTCGAGAGACAGTATTTTTGTTCTGTTTCACGCCGGAGGTTCCAAATTCTACTTATCACGATACGAATTGTTCTGTATCTTGACTCACTCACCTTGTTATAAATACACTCTACGGAATCCATAATGATACTCAATTTGTATTTAGAATAGGCCTTTTTAGGATATTTTTCGAGTTCCACTTTCAGAAAATATGCCGGACTGTCACTCAAGTGTTCGGAAGAAATTATCGGTATCAGATGATCTTCAGTGCTGCAGCCTTCGACTATGATGCCCTCTACTTTCAAATTGAATTTGAAAGTTTCTTGCGAGTAATTCGGAACCAATGAGAACATAGTTTGTGTGAGGGTCAGTACCATGATCTCTTTGTAGTTATCCGTTAAAACCAAATTCAGGTTGCCGAGACGAAAATTGTAGTTGTGTTCTGGAAAATAGAATTATTTTTTTCTACAATCTCTTGCGGAAATTTAGACATGACTCACCCATATTTTCCTTTTGATTCTCTTGTTCTTTATCTTCGAAGTATCCAATTTTCTCGCATAAGAGTAGTCTTTCAGGAGACGGCAACATAGACCAAAAGCTTTTTTCGCCAATACTTCTTTCCTGAACCTGAAAACTTTTTAAGTTTTTTACGGATCTTCATTGTCATCATCTCATTAATAGATGTAGACTGAAGCGAACCTAGGCAGCACACGCTATATAAAAGGATTCAACAAATATAACAGTGACATAACCTGACAAAAATATTGTGCTCAGCAGTGGAGGGTATTAGAATATTCCCAGTCCTCCTAAATAACACCTCATCCTGAAGCCTTCCTCTTGTTGAAGTCTGTACCCAGAAGATGTTTGTCTCTGTAGAGCCGGGGCTCTGCCGTGATGGACCCTTCTTTTCCTAGTAACTCGTGACACTTGGACGACGAATTAACCAGAGAATCCGACCGTTAGTCTGCAGAGACGATGGACGTCGATCAAAATGACTCCAACTGTACACTCTATGACATCTGATCACGAGCCAGAGCTTCTCAGTTCTCTCATTATTGATCCTGTCGACAGACCTAGAAGTATGCAACCAGAAAACCGCATCGCCTTCTCAAGAGTAGGGTATCTTATGGAACTGCCTTGAACCAAATTATTGAGCATTGTGTCTTTATATATTGGTCCATAACTCTGTGCTTGTCTTATTGCGAACCTGCTCAGAATTTCAGTTGTTTGGCAGTGTCCCACTGTTGCCAGTTGTCCTGAAAGATCACTCACCAGATAAAGCAATCGGCTTCGTTGAGAAACTGGATTTATTTGGTCGAGTTTGAATATGTGTAAGCAACAAAGCTTGACCTCCTAACTGACAGTAACTAACATAACCACTTAATTCCCAGGATATTTAACAAACATTCCCAAAACTGTTTA